TTGTTTAGATTTTTCCCCCATAAAAGACTTCGGATATGATGTTTCGGATGCGTTTCATCTCTTTATTTGAAAAAGACTAAGTCATTTTGCACGACAGCCTATCCCGAGGTAAAACTTCCATTCCCCTCACTAGACCTGTTTGTCCCATCTACTATCGCCACTGATTGAGTTACAGCTATCTCGTTCTCCTGATGGAGGTCGTGAGAGTGTCATGTCCTTTTTTTTTGCTACGAAACCCATTGCATAACTGTAGAAACAATAACGACAGGTAGTTTAGCTTCGATGAGGGCCAATCTCAGAACACCGTCAAAAACTCGCGCAAAAACCTAAGTGAATCGTGCGGGCGGTGATTACAGTCAGCGGGGTGCGGCCGAAAACCCGTTTTGTGTTGTCGCTCACATCTGGTGTACTGTAGTCGCTAGCGTCTTTGCGATACAGTAGCCGAAAGGCGAGAAGTTTTTGGTTGTGTTTATGCTGTCAGTCATTCTGAATATTGTTTGAAGAAGTAAGAAGACTTTTTTTGAACTTTTTTCTGATTACTTCTTGTTTATGAAACCTGTTCGTAAATACTCTTTATATGCAATATTTTTACACAATTTTTGACTTCAATTTTGTTATTTGCTCTTCTAGGGCATTTCACTATTTGGTCTCATTGACTATGCGTGGCATCCAACACATTCTTCCTTTTTATTTCCAAGATCTTTGTACGTTCAAAAAAAGCTAGCTCCCCAGCTGGCTGTGCGCTAGATTTTTCAAGTGATTTACCGCCGGGTTATACGCTTAGCCAAACAATTAGCGGCATGAGGTATGGGTAGATAAGAGGGAGGCAGTGGTCGACGAGTACTCTATGGAAGGTCTGAGGGAGATGGATATACTTGTAGGGTAGGCGAAAAGAAAGCGCATTACATTCGATTTTTGTACATCACAGAATGCATAATATGAGTTTGTGTTGTAAATTCTCAACATTGGGGAATACTAGAAAAAATTTCGAGAAAATTAGGAGTAATTTGAAAATTAAGGTTTTAAAATATTTGATTTCTTGAACAATCCGAAAATTAAAGTTTTTGGATACTCGACTCTCGTATTATCTGAAATTAATATTTTCGAGTATTTGGAATCGAATATTCGAAAAATACCGAATATTATCATTATCGAATAAATGCTCGAATAAATCACTTGTATACTTTTAGACAAAATTATCTTATATATTGAACTTGTTTTTGAAATTCGCAGCCTGAGTTCTCTAGAGGAAAATGATCATCAAAAAGAGCAACGCTGAACTATTAGCGGATGCAGGATTTTTGGTCAAGCTCCACATTAAATTTTTCCTGGACAAACTTTCACTTTCTTCCAGAATAGTGACCTTTTAAAATGTACAGTCTTCACAAAACCTTGTTTCATCGCCTGTAAGAGCTGTAAGTTTGACACCGTGGTATGTTGGAGCCCTCCCACGTAATGATGCTTCTAACCTGTAGCAAGTCGAGCTCAATCAAAATGCAGCTTTTTGAAATAGAAATTTGGGTTGTGAGGACTCAGTTTTTCCATAGGAGCTCTTACGATGACATTTATGGATTTAATCTAAATTCCTCGTTCTACATCTATCATATATTGCGTTCGAATGTTCGAATAACTCGAAAATAAAAATTGTATATTCGAATGGTTGATAGTTCGAAAATTAAAGTTTTCTATCATTCGAATTTCCGAAAATATCTTGAATTACGAATATTCGAATTTTCGAACAACTCGAATGATTGGACAATTATCTTTTGATCTAATGTATAACAAATACTCGATAGTCTAGAAATTTCTGCCCTGACAACTTTGTCCCAAAGACGATCTAATGTGCAAAGAGAATACTGCAAAATTCATCCTTTCTGCTATTGTAAGGCTATCTTATCCCTCATCTTAATTGATATGAGGCAAATATGTACAAACAGCATAACTAGACGGCGATTAGGCAAAATTTGAAATCTATTAATTTGAGAGCAAATATCTGGTTACTTTGAATCAGTTAACATAATGATATTTCAAAAGTTTTATTAACATTTTGTGATAGTTCAAGTCAATCTATAGCATTTCAAACTTTAGCATTTTTAAGATTTTTTGAACTTTAAAATCCTTTTCAAGCAACGCTGATTCCAAATGTTGTTCGCTTGCTCGTTTATATTTCAGAAGAACTGATATAATTTTGCAGAACTTTCATGATTTTTTGTATTTCTTAAGTTAGCTCAGTTTGTTATCCTCAGACTTCTGGAGGAACTGGACATGGAACTTGTATTTGTGCGAAAATTCCCAGAGGCACTGCAACACTGGAAAACAACAGGAGCAGGCCTACTCACACGAATGCAGGTATATATTCTCCGAAGAAGATTTATCCTTTTCGAAATAGTAATATTAAGTCATTTTTAGGCATTAGAACCGTATCCAGCAAGGAGTGGTGCGAAACTTTCCGCTGAAGATGCTGAATACGAACAGGCGAAGGAGTTTTTGAAAACTCTTGATTCGAGTGAAAATCCAAGTATTGTAAGTTTATTCAATATATCTCTTGTTTTTTAACTTTTATATGGTACTAGTAAAATCAAATAAAGCTTACTCCTATCTTATTTTCTCATCCTTGTCCTTAGTGTTCTGGTTTCTAGCTGTTTTTCGAAGGTCATACAATTACAACTATCCACTAAAAGGCTAACCTCTGAGCTAGATGAAAATAATTTTGACATCGCTTTTCGGAAATTTACGTTTTTGTGTTTTAGATGAAAGGGTTTGGGTGACTCTATTAGGATTGCTTAACATCTAATTGTTGACTTCTTAGAATATTAACCTATGATTTGCATGTCCAAGCGTAAAGGACGTTCTATTTTCGATCTTGCCGAGGATTTCATGAAATAATGAAATCTGACGGTTATATCTACCAATAGGATATCGGAATGATCCTCCAACTAAATGAACTCACCCAAGAATTGT